CTGCACAAAAATTTGCGAAGCTCAGTTGGGCAACGGCTGGCTGGTGATTGCATGTTTTTTATTTGCTGCTTTCAAAAAATATTTTGGCGTCAAAACATTGTAAATATCAAAGAAGGTAGATAATTTTTGCGTCCCTTGGTATAGTCGTGATACATTAACATGCGTGTACTGTGTTCCAAAGAGTTTGTTTCAGGGTGTAGTTTTATGGCTAACAAATTGTGCTGATTTAATGTTACTTCGGTACCTTGGGGTAAGATGCCCCCTGTCCTGATGGGGAAAGACGCCCCCCTAAATCCGTAGGCTGTCCTTCAAGCAGCCCGTCAAATCATTTGTTACATACTTGTGATGAGAGACAAAAGCCGATCTGGGACTAATGAGAGTCCGGTACGGTCGGGTGCTCCCCATGCCGGTCTCTCGGCCCACACAGCGACTTTTTGGGCGGCATCTGATTCTGAGAGCCATCAAGACGGCCTCTGTGGGCCCCATTATTGGTTCCAGGGCCCCTCACGACATCCTTTGAGGGCTCCCACGTTGGTTCCACGGGCCGCGCTGGCATCTGAGGTCCCCACGATGGGCTCGAGGCCCCTCAAGCATCGTGAAGACCTATAAGGGCCCCACAGTGGTCTCCGAACGCCACCACGGAGGCTTGTTTGGCCACGCTGGACTATGATGGCCCTAACGATGACCTCTGAAGCCCCTTACGACTACTTTTGAGGGCCCTTACGATGACTTTTAGTGTCTATTGCAGGCTCGAAGGGAATACTGATTCGTTCAGGCGATTCACGTGCCTATTTATGTCACTTATAGTGCAGGGGGCCTCTTACCCAACGTCAGGGGGCGTCTTTCCCACCCTGTGGGGTAAGATGCCCCTTTTCACTTCTTCAGGAAAATGCTTAATAGCAAAAAATGTTATCATATTTCAGGCACGAAAGTGTGATATTTTTGGAGAAAAATGATGTCGGCTTCGGTTGAAACTCCAAGTTTTGGCTTTCCGATCGTCATTTTTGAATAATATATGACATAGTCAAACCCTGGGCATCTTTCCCCACTCTCCCCTACCATTCGTGACCTAAGATGACCTCAGGGCATAAACAGGGGTCACGGACACCATTTTCATGTTCAGTGTGTCTAAACCACTTGTAATCCAGTGTTTGGGAGTGTTTATAATGTCTTTCGTCCAAAAGAGGCGCATTTCAATTTTCTCCCATTGACTTATAATGGGGAGGTCGCAAAATTGACCTGACCTTAGGTCATCGACATCAAAATTCTGAAATATACATTTTGTACATGCTATTGCTCTTAGCAATCGCTGAAAGTTTCAAAGCGATCGGTCACTCGGTGTAGCTATGACAGACATTGAAACTTTTTATGAGGTGAAGTCACTTCAAGTGACCTGGTGACCTGACCTTGAATGACCTTGGTCTGAAATTTTCACAACATGTGTAAAATTGATGTATGATAAGGTGTACCAAAAACGGCGGCGCTCCGCGCCGCCGTTTTTGAGATATTTGCGAAAAACCACAAGAGGGGGGGGGGGGTGTTCAAACACCCCCCCAGCAGGGCGCGGGTTAAGATAGGTCATGTGATACAGGGTGTCCCAGATTTGACCGAACATTTATTTCCTGGCTAAAAGTACGATTGCGCTCGATTCTAATTAGATACAAGCATTATACTTCTATAAGATACACCTTAGCTATCGAGCTTGGAGACTGTGTGTTTTTGGTGACCGGTCACGACTCGAGTCAATTATTATTCAGAGTCAGCAAAGAGTAGTCCCTTTTCGTTTTCAGCCTCAGCAAACAAAAGGCAATCATGGTGAATAAAGTGCAATTTTGAAGTTCGTAAACGGACTTTCGGCATGGTTCTTGCTGGAGAGCTCCAGTAGCTCATTTGCAAGCAGGCAGGGGTGAGCAAATCGCAGTTATATCAGCGAGAGAAGCCAGAGAGAGCAAGAGATAACCTGATCGACAAGCCTGGGCGCGACCAAAAAGGAGCATGCACCAGTCGTCAAGCGGGTTCTTGCCATGTCATGGACAACGAACGCCACCCAGCTACCCAAAAACAAGCGAAACAACAGATCATGGTTAGCTACGAAACATCAGTCTACTTTTGACCACTATCTTCGACAAAATTTGGGAATTTGGGGCCCCTCATCTGAAAAATATGACAAAACTAACGGAAAGACAGCGCAAATCGTTACAAAGCAGCCATAAATCATAACATATCCCGCGCGGGCTGGGGGGGGGGGGGTAAATTTTACCCCCTTTGCGAATTTTTGCAATATCCAAAAACGGCGGGCTGCTGCGCCGCCAAACTTTCAGTACCTTTTCTTACATCAATTTGACACGTTCGCTGAAAATTTGAGCGAAATCCGTCGGTATTTTTTTGAGAAATTGACGTTTTAGTGACGTCATCTTCGCCATTTTCGCCTAAAAAACGGCAAAATTTGAAACGCCGCTAACATCTTCATTTTTAAAGGAATCAAGACGTAACAAAAAAGGTTATGTGTAATTCTACTTTGTCTACCAAATGGCTATCTCGGATTTTTGAACATTTTGGATTTTGGCACAATTTTTTCTTCAAAAACTGACTTTTTGGGGAAAATAATTATAAAATCCAAAAATTTGAGTGTATCCAAAAAACCGGAATATATGTCAGAGAAGTGGTCTATGTGCACCTACATACCAGTTTTTTGAAGAATCGGTTCAAAAATGTGGGAGTTATTAAAAATTTCATAACGTCACGACACAAATTTTTTGAAAAATAATTTTTTTTGGAAGTTCTAGACCTTGTACGGAAACAAAAAAAGCACCATTCGATTCGCCGTGAAAAACTGCATCAGATAGACACCTTTTTAGGCCTTAACAACCAACTTCAAAATTTGACCTCACTTAACCTGACCTTGACCTGACTTTGACCTGAAATTCATCCAGAGGTGATCTATATCACCTATTGAGTGTGCCTATTGAATTCTATGAGCAAAATGACCCATAAAACATGTGTCGCACATGCCCTTTTCTATATTTTGTTTTTGGTGACCTGACCTGACCTGACCTGACCTCGACCTTGACCTCTGAATGATATTGTATGCAACGAATATTGTCTTGGTAGCCTAAGAACACGTTTTGGGCAATCAGTCTCAGTCCATGACTCCATTCTTCGGCAGCTACGGTGCAAGGCCGATACTGTAGAAACTTGCAATTTGTACCCTTGATCTGACCTTGACCTTGACCTCAAACGTTAGATTAAGTACATGTTTTTAGTTGTTCGTGATGAGATCTTTCGATTGGCCTTTGGATTTTCCAAATCGGACCATTAGTTCGGGAGATAACAGGGGGGGGGTAAAATTTGCCCCCCCCCCTCCCAGCCCCGCGCGTTCGCGCGGGATATGCAGCAAAAAAGTAAATAGAAAGTAGAAACACACTTAGTGGTCTTACGAAGGTATTCTGCCCTTTGAAGCGACACAAAAAAGTCGTGTGTGGACGTCAGATGGTGACAACGCCCCAACGGCCGAAACAACCAGGCACTCGTCGAAAATCAAAGTGTGAGACATTTTGAGTCACAGTGCGCTTCTTCAGCTTCACGTGATGCCCCAAAGACGACCGTTAACCCGCGAGCTGCTGGGGGGGGGGGGGGGGGGGCGCTAAACGCCCCCACTTTTTTCGCCGGGCCATAGCGCCAAATTTTGGATACCTGTAGGGAATTGATTGAAGTTTATTGTGACAAAGTTAAAAAAAAAATCGGTCGGAAAATTTTTGAGATATCGAGGTTTTAGTGACGTCATGATTCCTGAGTTTTCGACCAAAAACGGCATATGTTCAAAAAATCATATAAAATCACAGATTAGACATACAGACATGCCGTAAACGCCATTAGACTGCCAATACCATGAACAATTAAATGGCTATCTTCGATTGTTGATAATCGTTCCGCATTTTCCAAAATCTTGAACTGAATCTTGGCAATTTCTCGTGACTACTTCACGACCATGATACATGCATTTCTGAAATTGAACTTTTTTAGCCAAACACGTACACACATGATAAAATGAATGTCACCATCGTGTTCTACGCCCCAAATTACCCATTAAACATGTGTCACAGGCTGCGAATATCAGTTTTGATTTCCGGGGATATTTGCCTGCCCGGTTGACCTGACCTTGACCCTGACCCATGCTTGACTGACCCCTACATGAATCTGACACTCGTTTAACCCTATATGAAGTATTATGCACAATTCTGACCGAGTTTATGACAAGAGATGCCCGGTACGAGGTTCTTAAGTTCATGCTACTGAAACTAAAACCCCGATTTTCTTTGTTTGACCTGAACTGGACCCGACCTGTAATCCCAACATTCAACTTTCAAGCACTTATCTGAATCGTATCCTCGCGTTCTTTCGTCTGCCGCCTCGCGCGTTCCGCTGCGCCTATTGGTTCTCGAGTTATCGGCTGGGGGTGGTTAACGCCCCCCCCCCCCAGCTCGTTTGTAAAATGGGTGTGTGATAATTTTGACTGTTGACTGCAATTTTCACATTTACTTTCCTTCTCAGGGATTTCATATTTTTGTCAATGACACCTTGACAACGGGCAATAGTAATCCGTGTGTATTTTCATCTTTTTTTCAATTTTCTTCTGAGCGACGACAAATTTAGCGATATTTATTAGCGAGTTAAAGCGGGCTATGTGACAACATGAATAATGTAAGGGGTAGGGCCAATAAGAAAAAAAATATTACCCTGTGTGACGCTAATGTAGCCCTCAGGTGAAGACCCCAACAAGCATTATTTCTCTCGGCTTTCGGTCTTCACCCTCGGACTACAGTGACCTCACATCGGGCAATAATTTTTACTATCGCCCGCTACCCCACGTAATATTCATATGTTTGATAACCATAAGTCGGTATTACTGCACTGAAGCTGACCCCAAGGCTGTCGGCTGATTGGCCGCGGTGTTGTTGCCAATCGTCGGCCCCGAGCCGTGTGCGGTGTGTGGTCCGGAGAGGCCGTCCGGAGAGAGCCCTGTCAGAGCCGTGTGCACCCCGTTTCAGACGTGCAAGGGCAAGTGTGACGAGTACCGGCCGTGCGTCGAGTGCACGGTGTTCGCCAGCGGCGAGCTGGTCGACACCTGCCAGACCAGCTGCGCCCAGCTGCTCATCAACCAGACGGACGTGGTCGAGGGTGAGCCGCGGCCCGTGCGCGCGCGTCTCCTCCACTCGCTCCAGTTCTCAAACAGACGTGTTCCGAGTCACTTCTGCGAATACCTTGGGATGATCGGAGCATGCTGAAAAGGCTCATTCGAGCCCTATCTTTAATTATGCATCTTTCTCAAACATTCGAGCTCTTAGAATCTCAGAGTCTTGAGCTCCATTTGAGATGATCGGAGCATGATATGCTGCGTCCAACGAGCGTTCAAACTTTCGAGTTGAAGAGAAATACTTAAGTTATATGGCATCAGCTGGCCTGTCATTGTCTGACTTGACTGGCGGTCCAGCGCTCGGAGCCGTCCCTGACTGACCCGCGGGCGCCGGCCGAAACCACTGTCCCCCTCTGACGGGGGACGGCCGCCACTGTCCCTCTCTGACCGGGGAGGGCCGCCACTGTCCCTCTCTGACCGGGGACGGCCACCACTGTCCCTCACTGACCGGGGACGGCCGCCACTGTCCCTCTCTGACCGGGGACGGCCGCCACTGTCCCTCTCTGACCGGGGCCGGCCGCCACTGTCCCTCTCTGACCGGGGACGGCCGCCACTGTCCCTCTCTGACCGGGGCCGGCCGCCACTGTCCCTCTCTGACCGGGGACGGCCGCCACTGTCCCTCACTGACCGGGGACGGCCGCCACTGTCCCTCTCTGACCGGGGACGGCCGCCACTGTCCCTCTCTGACCGGGGACGGCCGCCACTGTCCCTCTCTGACCGGGGACGGCCGCCACTGTCCCTCTCTGACCGGGGACGGCCGCCACTGTCCCTCTCTGACGGGGAGGGCCGCCACTGTCCCTCTCTGACCGGGGACGGCCGCCACTGTCCCTCTCTGACCGGGGACGGCCGCCACTGTCCCTCTCTGACCGGGGACGGCCGCCACTGTCCCTCTCTGACCGGGGACGGCCGCCACTGTCCCTCTCTGACCGGGGACGGCCGAAACCACTGTCCCTCTCTGACCGGGGAGGGCCGCCACTGTCCGTCTCTGACCGGGGACGGCCGCCACTGTCCCTCTCTGACCGGGGACGGCCGCCACTGTCCCTCTCTGACCGGGGACGGCCGAAACCACTGTCCCTCTCTGACCGGGGACGGCCGCCACTGTTCCTCACTGACCGGGGACGGCCGCCACTGTCCCTCTCTGACCGGGGACGGCCGAAACCACTGTCCCTCTCTGACCGGGGACGGCCGCCACTGTCCCTCACTGACCGGGGCCGTCCCCGACTGACCTGTGGGCGCCGGCCGAAACCACTGTCCCTCACTGACCGGGGACGGCCGCCACTGTCCCTTTCTGACCGGGGACGGCCGCCACTGTCCCTCTCTGACCGGGGACGGCCGAAACCACTGTCCCTCTCTGACCGGGGAGGGCCGCCACTGTCCGTCTCTGACCGGGGACGGCCGCCACTGTCCCTCTCTGACCGGGGACGGCCGCCACTGTCCCTCTCTGACCGGGGACGGCCGAAACCACTGTCCCTCTCTGACCGGGGACGGCCGCCACTGTTCCTCACTGACCGGGGACGGCCGCCACTGTCCCTCTCTGACCGGGGACGGCCGAAACCACTGTCCCTCTCTGACCGGGGACGGCCGCCACTGTCCCTCACTGACCGGGGCCGTCCCCGACTGACCTGTGGGCGCCGGCCGAAACCACTGTCCCTCTCTGACCGGGGACGGCCGCCACTGTCCCTCACTAACCGGGGCCGGCCGCCACTGTCCCTCTCTGACCGGGGCCGGCCGCCACTGTCCCTCTCTGACCGGGGACGGCCGCCACTGTCCCTCTCTGACCGGGGACGGCCGCCACTGTCCCTCTCTGACCGGGGACGGCCGCCACTGTCCCTCTCTGACCGGGGACGGCCGCCACTGTCCCTCTCTGACCGGGGACGGCCGCCACTGTCCCTCTCTGACCGGGGATGACCGCCACTGTCCCTCTCTGACCGGGGACGGCCGCCACTGCCCCTCACTGACCGGGGACGGCCGCCACTGTCCGTCGCCCACAGTGGAGAGTCCCGACGAGCGGATGTGCATCTACACGGACGAGTCCGTCTGCCGCTACCGCTTCGTCTACGGCTACGACGGGCTGGGCAGCCCGGTGATCCGCGTGCAGCCTACCAAACAGTGTCCGGCGCCCATCAACGTGCTCAGTGAGTGCCGACGGCCGACGGCACACTCCTCAGCTGACCTGATATACCTACTACATGTGGAGCCACTTGGTACCCCGATTGGACCGTACTCGGAGTCCTGTGAAATGTTACCAGTCCGGCTCCGATATATGCAGATATTAACCCTATTAGTGGCAGGGGGGGGGTTGTTTTTATCCACCCCTCAGGTTTTTCGGGAATATCTCCGAAACCGCTGAAGCTACGATGCTGAAATTTTCTGACTTTTCCTAAAACTAAATTGGGCACATTCCCTGAAAATTTCAAGTTCAAAATTCAATTTCATTTCATCATTTCATTTCATTTCAAAATTTCAAAAATCAAAATTTCAAATTCACACGATATCCGTGGCACCGACGTCGTTAGGAAAGAAAAGTATGGGCTATGGACTGTGGAGTGTGGAGTACCGGTAACGTGCGTAATCTGTAAGCCCTGTGACGTGCTGACCGGCTGAGCTGCTGACAGGTATGGCTCTTATGATGATTGCTGCTAATATCGTGGTGGATGTTCATCAATACAGCCCATATTCAGCCCGGATTCACCCCAAAATCGGGACACCTCGGATCGAGCCGACACTTGCACACACTAGAGGTCCAGACACACACAATCTACAGCCAGAGCCATTCCGTGGCACTCCCAGCCGTTTGACCCGCAGAGGTCAGTAAAGGTCACGTGGCCCAAATTTGCACAGCAGTTTGTGGCCCACCCATTGGAGCTGGAGCGCTAAAAATGGCACCAAACGACTCGCCAGCATCTATGCGTTAACCTGAGGTCATTTGCGGGCTACTTCGAAAATACACGTGCGCAACGGTTCTCGAGTGTGAAGATCGACCGAATTTGAAATCAAAGCATACCATCGGATAGCTCAAAAGCCGCAGTAACTTTTTCCTGACAACCGTTTATCGCTATGTGACCCCGTTTTTCCTCGGCAGGACCAAATGTACAAATAAACGCCCCCCCCCCCCCCCGACGTCGCAGCCCGGATTCAGACCAGATTCGTGACACCGCAGATTGACCGCAGCTGAACGTTTGCCAGCGTCTAACGTGTAGGGAGGGGAACGGTTGGACCCCCCCTGCCGTTCGGCTCCTGATTGAGCTAGAGCCTCGCGGAAAAACGAGCGTGTTGTCCGTGACGATAGGAAGCCGATGCTACCCAATTTTAAGGTCCTAGGTCATTGGTTGACCTTCCAGGTCAGGTCAATGACCCAAAAGTCGGGCAAATCGGGACCTGCTAGAACTTTGTGAAGGGGAGCTGTGATGGGTTTTTCGGGGCGCTGATCACGAATTTCATGTTGGTTTTGATCACAGGGATGATGTCTTCATGCCATGCATTTAGGCCATGTCGGGTCAGGTCAGGTCAGGTCAACCAGAAGGCGTCCTGCCGGCTATCCGTAGTAGGTGTCAACTGCCTCTGACAACTTCGTAACATGTTACGAAGGCACTAAAACTACTTCGTAAATGTTCAAATGGATGCTAAATTCAAAATCAGCTAAAAGAAACTACCCAAGAAACATGTTAAGTTCGAAAAAGTGACCCGAGGTCATCAAAGGTCAATGACCTGACCTGACCTTCAGGTGACCTTGACAGCCGCCGTAATGCGTGGGACGAACATCATTTAACCCGCGCTCCGTAGGGCTATCGGCGGACCCTGCCACCTGTAGGGGGGGGGGGGGGGGCGTTTCGGCCCCCCTAAGATGTCGGAAAGCTACCGGCCGATTTTCAAAACTCAAACGGCGTTGGATAGCCTTGCCACGGAACTACCTAGTGACCTTATTTCATTGACCTTGGCCTAACCGATCGATCCGTATCAGTCGATCCGTATCGTTGAGCTGAACACATCTGACCTGACGTGTTTTCACCGCTCTAGCACGTCTCTATCAAAAGTTATTGTTAAAAAACTGCTGATGACCTTTAATGACCTAAGATGACCTCAGGGGTATACATAGAGGTCATAGGTGCATTTTTCCGATTCAGTGTGTCATGCTCAGGTACTAATGAACTAATGTTTGAGAGGATTTAGAACGGCATTTGTCCAAAAGAGGCGCATTACAGTTCTCTTCCATTGTTGACTTATACTGGAGAGGTTGCAAAATTGACCTGACCTTAGGTCACAGATATAAAAAACTCCGAGGTATACATTCTATACATAATGCTACTTTTATCAATCGCCGAATGTTTCAAAGTGATCGTTCAGTCGGTGTAGCTATAGTGAGCCTTTGAACTTTCCTGAGGTAAGGTCACTTGACGTGAACTGGTGACCTGATCTTGAGCGACCTGGGTCTAAAATTTCACAACATGTGGGGAAAAGATGTTTAACCCGCGCCCGACTGGGGGGGGGGGGGCTATTCATAGCCCCCTCCCGTTTTTCTGCAATAACGTCCAAACCACTTGACGTATCGACGCCAAACTTTCAGTACCTTCAGCTGCATCAATTTGACACCTTGTGTCGAAATTTGAACTTCGTAGCTACCATAGGTCGGCCGGAAATGACGTCAGAGTGACGTCATGTTCGGCCGATTTCGACGCAAAACATTGAACCACGGCAATCGCTCCCAAGAGCTCAGTTTTTAAGCTAGATCTAATTTCTTTGCATGAAAGGACTCAGAATTGACTGCGCTATCAAACTGTTATCTTGGATTTTCAAAATTTGGAAAATTTCGAAAATTTTATATAAATATATTCAAAATTTATATTTATATATTTTGTTTAAACGTTTTTGACTTTTAGAAAAAACGGAATATATGTGACAGAACGCATGCTTATGACTAACTCTAGCAGGTTTTAGCTAAATATCTTCAAAAATGGCCAAGTTATACGCATTATTGCAAAAAATTCACAATTATTAATATTTCAAATCATTTTTTCAGTACGTTTTTGACATCGTACATCAATATGAATAGCACCATCGTGTTCCTGAGCTCAAACTTCATCAAATAGTCACCTTTTTTGTTGAAAAATTTTAACTTCAAAATTTGACCTTTTTTTTACCTGAAAGTGACCTGACCTAAGCTATATTCGACTCAAAATGACCTCGAATGACACAGACGACATCAAATTCGAAATCTATGGCCTAAATAGACCATAAAACATGTGTCACTTGACCAACGCATGATATAATATTTCCGTGACCTGTGATGACCTGACCCTGACCTGAAAATCAAAGTACAAGTTTGGTACCCTCGAGGTATCTAGAGCATCTGTTCACGAGTATGTAAACCAAAAATGAGCCTGATCTGACTTGTAAGACGACGGCCAGAGCCCAAAATGTGAACAAGCCGAAATGCTAATAATTTTTACTTTGACCTGATCTGTGATGTCATCGGTGACCTCGAGGTCAATGAAATTAGGTTTCGTTCGACAGTTTTTCCAGGGCTATCAGACATCGTTTGAATTTTGACGATCGACCCAGTAGTTTCGGAGTTCGGAGGGGGGCTATGGAGAGCCCCCCCCCCCCACCAGTAGGGCGTGTTATACGCAGACCCCAGTGGGGCGCGGGTTAAACAGGTGTACCGGCGTGAAAACGTACGGCGGCGTGAAAACGCCCCCCACCCCCAACCCCAACCCAACCCAGCACGGCGCTGGTTAGAAGCTGAGCCCTTGGGAGCGATTGACGTAGTTCAATGTTTGGCGTCGAAATCGGCCGAACATGACGTCACTCTGACGTTATTTCCGGCCGACCTATGGTAGCTACGAAGTTCCAATTTTGAAACAAGTCAAAGTCATGCAGCCGAAGGTACTGAAATTTTGCGTCGATGCGCCAAGCAGATTAGAAAATACTTCGGAAAAAAGCGTTTCTCATGTCGGGACTTATGTAGTGGCCGGTATTTGGGTGGCCGCCTTGCCCCAGGGTATGGGGCAAAGTGGCCTAAATCCATAGGTGTAAGGTTTAGGTAGCGTGACCTTTACTGACCTCTGTGGGTCAAACGGCTGGGAGTGCCACGGAATGGCTCTGGCTGTAGATTGTCTTTGTCTGGGCCTCTATTGCGGGCAAGTGTCAGCTCGATCCGAGGTGTCCCGATTCTGGGCTAAATCCGGGCTGAATATGCCGTTGATGCCGTTGATGGACATTCGTTGTGGTCGGTTTGGCGGTGCTGATGTTCCGACTCTCCTCAGGTATCGTTCTGACGCTGATTGCCGCTATCGTGGCGGTCGGTATGGCGACACTGCTGCTGTGGAAACTGCTCACCACCATCCACGACAGGCGCGAGTACGCCAAGTGGGACTCGGAGCGCAAAAACGCCAAATGGGACACGGTGAGTGACGCTCCCTGGCGCTCGATCCGCACTGAAAACAATCTGACCCGAGGCCGGCGAGTGAACCGGCACCCATCCGCAACCATTTGACCATCGGCAGGCCGGTTACCCCAATACCCCACCCTTACCCGCCCAGTACATACTATCCGGAAAACACGCCGGTGACGGGTAATCAGACCACCTACCCACCCAGAACTACATACGAGTATGTATGTACCTATATCAAGCACCGCACAGAGAAGGCCCAACGATACCCGCACAACCCTATCACATACCCGCGAGGTGCTGATCCGAAACCCGCTCGGCCGAACATGACGTCACTCTGACCTCATTTCCGGCCGACCTCTGGTAGCTATGAAGTTCATATTTTGACACAAGGTGTCAAATTGATGCAGCCGAAGGTACTGAAAGGGTGGCGTCGATACGTCAAGCGGCTTGGAAGCTATTGCAGAAAAACTGGAAGGGGGGGGGCTATGAATAGCCCCCCCCGTTAGGCGTGGGTTAAATAAAATAACCGCATAATAGCCGTTCTCACGACGGTCATCTGGTGCACATTTGGTGCAGATTTGGTGCAGATTAGGGACACATTTGGTCAAATTAGGTTCAGTGTATCTCTTAGTAGCTATCAGCTAGGGTTGCACTTATTGCTTATATGCCTGCTTTGTCATATTATCAGAGGGTATCATCGAGTAAAACACTGACAAACATCATAAAATGAAGATATTTGCTGTAATAGAGATTAGGTGCAGATTTGGTCAAATTAGGTGCATTCGCCGGATAGTCCATCGTGAAAACGGCTAATAGTGGTACGGCAACCTATGAGACAAAGGTTTAGGTGCAGGTAAAAGAAGATCTAAATGTATGCTTTTATTTGTAACAAATAGATAGCTACGTTTTGTGGTTGTGCACTGTTCCGCCACAACTTCTGCCTTTTTCCAAGCACAGCGTCGGCTGTTTTCTGTGAGAGGCGGCCAGTAGCTGACCGGGTCTGCCTTCTTTCAGGGCGAGAACCCTATCTACAAGCAGGCGACCTCGACCTTTAAGAACCCAGCTTATGGCGGGAAGATGTGAGCTCTACTGGCGAGTGGCGGCGCTCCGGGGCCCTGAGATGGTGCCGCACCGTACACTGCTGAGGGCAGGCTGCCCTCCCGCTGCGCGGCCGGCCGAGTGACCGGCGCTCAGTGACCGGCGCTCAGTGACCGGCGCTTAGTGACTCAGTGACCGGCGCTCAGTGACCGGCGCTCAGTGACCGGCGCTCAGTGACCGGCGCTCAGTGACTCAGTGACCGGCGCTCAGTGACTGGCGCTCAGTGACCGGCGCTCAGTGACCGGCGCTCAGTGACCGGCGCTCAGTGACCGGCCACCAGAGGTCACCTGAACACCCTGCGCCCCGTGTGTTCCCAAGGTTCAGGCCGTTCACTATGCGCCCGTGGACTATATACTATAAAGGGTGACTGAGAGGGCGAGACCGCGCCCATAATTACAACCAAGTCACCGTCTTGATGGATACTAAGTTGAAAATATGTCTGATGTCCGGACATATTGCCGATCATTGGATACCTATTTCTGTGCCTTAGTGATAATCACAGCCTACTGCACATTTAATGATGAGATTTACCCAATATTATGCAATTGAGCTGTTAAATTGTGTCAATTTTTAGTCTTAAGCTTGGTAAGTGCTTTGGTGAGGTGCAAAAGGTACATATATACTTAAACAATTAAGCTATTCAATGACATTGCATTCGTATGCGTATTGTGTATGCAAGCTACAGACCAAAAGATACCTGCTGTGTTTTGACTCGAGGCCTTCAACATATGTAGAAGTGTCGAAAATCAATAAGTATGCAAAACAGCAAGTGCTTTGTCTATATTTTGCTCTTATAATTTATTCTGAAGAATGCCTGGGCTAGAATGTCAATGCATTATTTTATAATTATATGTAAGCATTATACATGCATTGCCATTGGTAACGAGCATAATGTCCTTTCCTGGCTTACCGATTTATTCAGCATTTGAGTCATTCATAGGTCTGTACATGAGCTATTCAACCGCAACAGATGATCCGCAAATAAACCGTTTCATCGTTAGTGAAGTGGAATATTGGTTGTATTGCTGCATAAGAGCCTTTGGTTTTAGTGCGACCACTGCGCGGCCATGAGATGTAAATTTGTAATGGTTAGACCAAATGTGTCGTCTGCACTGACAGACCACTGCACAGACCACTGGAGCACTGACAGCTGGCCGCCGCGGCGCTGCCCCCCGCGGCGGAGCGCTGCTGAGTGCTGACACCAGTACCACCCCCGTGGCGCGGCGCTGCTGAGTGCTGAGACCAGTACCACCCTCGTGGCGCGGCGCTGCTGACTGCTGAGACCGCCCCGAGTAGCAGACTGCTGCTGACTGCTGAGACCACCCCGAGCGGCGGAGCGCTGCTGAGTGCTGAGGCCAGTACCACCCCCGTGGCGCAGCGCTGCTGAGTGCTGAGACCAGTACCACCCCCGTGGCACAGCGCTGCTGACTGCTGAGACCGCCCCGAGTAGCAGACTGCTGCTGACTGCTGAGACCGCCGGCCGAGCGGCAGACTGCTGCTGACTGCTGAGACCGCCCCGAGCGGCGGAGCGCTGCTGACTGCTGAGACCGACCCGAGCGGCGGAGCGCTGCTGACTGCTGAGACCGCCCCGAGCGGCGGAGCGCTGCTGACTGCTGAGACCGCCCCGAGCGGCGGAGCGCTGCTGACTGAAACCGGCCCCGCCAACATTGACCCACCGACCCCGCCAACATGGACCCCACCGACCCCGCAAACATGGGTCATGGATCCCACCGGCCCCGCCAACATTGACCCACCGACCCCGCAAACATGGACCCCACCCGCCCGCCGCGGCCGCATATAAATGGATGGAAGACGAGCAGTGATTTTTGGGGCTGTTGACTATGTGGTTTACATAAACTGTCCTCGGGGCACGTTCCCGGCTGTGACGTCACATGGTGTTTACGTTTTCGAAACACAAGTGTTTACTTAAACAGTGACAACTAACAAGCAGTTGAGACGATACTGTAAAAGGTGCAAAGAAAAGATAATCTGATGGAAATATGTCTCATATCATGACATATCGCAAGAATAAGGACAGTTTTCATCAAAAAATACTCACGACGCTAGACGCTAGTTAGCAGAGAACGATGCTCAAAATAGGTCTTAATTACAATGAAATAATAAAACCTACCATTCCAGTCCCTTGCAGGGTTATTGGGTTAGTTTAAAGGGACCCTCCCACCTTAACATTAGTTTTGAGTTGAGATAGCCAAGTTTGCGGCCAGGCTCAGAAACCACCATTTATCTTGGTCGCAACCCCCGCAGCTTTATGGTGTTCAAGAAATTTCTTCCCTTTACTTGCAGGGTGGGACCTGCAGCGTGGTCCCTATCTCTTAACCATTACGGGAATCTGATGACGTCATCAGGCTTTCGAACGTCCGTTAAATGTTTGACTAAAACGTTTTGTAGCACGCGGTGGTATATGCTGCTTTGCGCGCAACAAATGCCGCACTTTCAAATAAAGTCGCTAGGAACAGCGGAGATCCCAAAAAGTAAACAAAAGTAAAAGTCTAATATCTTGAAAACCGGTGAATATTTTTCGATGAAATTTGGTAGATATTCGTTTTTGCTCTTTCTGAACCGAGCGACATCACTTTCATGCCAATTCATTAACTTTTTTGAAGGTGGGAGTGTCCCTTTAACCCTCGCCCGTATTGGTGTTTTTCCAGCTGCGAACGTATAAGGGGGGGGGGGGGTCCGTTGGAACCCCCCCCCCTTGCCGTTTCGCCTCTGATCGAGCTAGAGCTTCGCGGAAAAAACTAGCGTGTTGCCCGTGACGAGAGGAAGCCGATGATACCCAATATTTTTAGGTCCTAGGTCATCGGTTGACCTTCCAGGTCAGGTCAATGACCCAAAAGTCGGGAAAATCGGGACCTGTTAGAAAGCCGTAAAGCGTGGCTGCTATGGGGTTTTTCGGGATGCTGATCACGAATATCATGTTAGTTTTGATCACAGATGATGTCTTCATGCATTTAGGCCAGGTCGGGTCAGGTCAGGTCAGGTCAACCAGTAAGGGTATTCGTAGTAGGTGGCAACCGCCTCTGACACCTTCGTAACATGTTACGAAGGTGCCACAACTACTTCGTAAATGTTCATATGGTTGATAAATTCGAATTCAGCTCCAAAAACTGGCCTAGTAACATGTAAAACTCGAAAAAGTGAGCCGAGGTCATCAAAGGTCAATGACCTGACCTGACCTTCCGGTGACCTTGACACACACCCTAATGCATGGGAGCAACATCATATCCCATGTTTGAGCGCTTAAAACCACGAAAAGACTGCAAACGCGCGGCTAATGCCAGCCGACATACGCCGAATCGCGATTCCGGCCAAACATGGTCTCGAAAAGTAGGTCACAGGTCAAAGGTCATTAGGGTCAGGGTCATGAAAATTTCGGGGTAGGTGTAAAATTGCTTAACGCGAGGGTACTGAAAGTTTCGTCGCGATCGGCCGCTTTTTACGCGAGTTATTCGCGAAAAACCGAGGGGGGGTCCGTGCGACCCCCCACCCCCCCCCACACCCTATAAGGGCGAAGGTTAAGACTCATTTACCCACCTACCAGCCCAGAGCCTATTTTAAGGGAATTTGACTGGGGGGGCAACCTGGAAAATTGTCTTTAATAATCCATTAACCCTCGCCCGTATTGGTGTTTCCAGTAGCGAGCGTATAGGGGGGGGGGGTCCGTTGGCCCCTGATCGAGCTAGAGCTTCGCGGAAAAAACGACCGTGTTGCCCGTGATGAAAGGAAGCCGATTATACCCAGTTTTAAGGTCCTAGGTCATCGGTTGACCTTCCAGGTCAGGTCATTGACCCAAAAGTCGGGAAAATGGGGACCTGTTAGAGCGTCGTAAAGAGTGGCTGCTATGGTTTTTCGGGGTGCTGATCACGAATATCATGTTAGTTATGATCATAGATGATGTCTTCATGCATTTAGGCCAGGTCAGGTCAGGTCAACCAGTAAGGGTTTTGCCGGGTATTCGTAGTAGGTGGCAACCGCCTCTGAGAGCTTCGTAACATGTTACGAAGGCACCAAAACTACTTCGTAAATGGTCAAATGGTTGCTTAATTCGAATTCAGCTCCAAAAACTAGCTTAGAAACATATAAAACTCGAAAATGTGAACCGAGGTCATCAAAGGTAAATGATCTGACCTGACCTTCCGGTGATCTTGACACCTACCCTAATGCATGGGAGCAACATCATATCCCATGTTTGAACGTTTGAAACCACGAAAAGACTGCAAACGCGCGGCTAATGCGAGGCGACATACGCCGAATCGCGACCTCGGCCAAACATGGTGCCATGGTGCTAGGCCGCCGGTGCATCTGAAAGAACTGTGGTGCCCCTGACAAGCCTGAAGTTCCAACGACAGGCCCGTGGTGCCCCTGACAGGCCCATGATGCCTTTGCGAGGCCGGTGGTGTCCACGTGAGGCCGGTGGTGCCCCTGGGCCCTGACAGGACTGTGGTGCTCCTGACAAGCCTGGAGTGTCCCCGACAGGCACGTGGTGCCACTAACAGGCCCAAGGTGTCCCAGTCCCTGCGAGGCCGGTGGTGTCCCTGCCAGGCATGTGGTGTCCATACTAGGCCTCTGGTGCCCCTGACAGGTCCATGGCGCCCTTGCTAGGCCTATGGTGCCTCTGGCAGGCCTATGGTGCCCCTGACGGGCCTGTGGTGGTACCCCTGACAGGCCCAAGGTGGTGCCCCTGCGAGGCCGGTGGGGCCCCTGGCAGGTCTGTGGTGCCCCTGGCAGACCTATGGTGCTCTTGCTAGGTTGATGGTGCTCCCAACAGGCCTGTGGTGCCCCTGACAGGCCGGTGGTACCCCTGGCAGGCCTGTGGTGTCCCCGGGCCCCAAGAGGGTGGGGGGTCATGACCCATATGACCCACCCTTAGATACACCACTGGTCATTACTTACAGACTGACTCATTTGACATCCATTGCAAAACAAGTCACAGTAGTTACGTAGTATGTTTGTCACCCTGTTCCTTTATGCCCATTTTTATAGTGGGCAAATCTCGACGACTAGGGGGGCAATTCTGTTGAGTGCGGGGGCATTTGCCCCCCCAGTTAACATGTTAAAATAGGCCCTGTTAACCAGCCCCTGAACTGTCCGAATTTAAATTTCCTAACTCACAACTCGCCTCACGAGTTTGCCGCATATCGCCATAATTGTCACATAAACGCGTTTACGCGCCATGTTGAGCTCTGAGGCATCTACCGCATAAACGGTTTACGGCGGAGGTCTGACGTCATTGACGGGATGTGACGTCAGGATCAGGTCGACGCTGATTGGTGCTTCAAAAAATAAACATGTGTATGGTTTATTAAACGGGATAAACTGACGTCGTGAACAGCCCTTTCGACCGGCCAGCGGGCTACTGAGGGGGGGGGGGGGAGGGGGCTCACAAAGCGGGCTGGCCGGGCGATGGACCCTCATCGGCGCCTGCGGCCGCGCAGAACGGATCTCAGCGCGCCTGACGGCAGCGCTGAGCACTGGGGCAGGCCTGAGCGGATCGGAGCCCATGGGCAGGCCAGAGCGCCGCGTGGTCACCTTCTGGTTGTTCTGTTCAAGCCTGCTGAAGTCGAATGAGTCATTCACTTTTTGTTGTCCGCATTTTGACAATGTATTTTTTTTTCTCCTATTTGTTTCAATTATGTTTGGTAGGTTTAAATTTTAGTGCAGGTGGTCCATACGCACTTTCAGGAGCTCTGTTCATATATTACGAGCATGTAACAATTACAAACAACACGAGGCACATACATTGAAGCTTAACCATCGCCGACCGATAGGGGGTGGCCGCCCCCCATTGGTTTTTCATGCAATAGCTCCGAAGACGCCGGGGCTACAGAGCTGAAATTTGGCGTACGTGACCGATAATCCAAGCCGCAAGCTCGTGACACCAACCGCATTTTCAGGTCAAATCAGGTCCATCAGCTATGACGTCATAAGTGAACCTCGCACGATCCTCAGATCTCGCAACTTCGCAACGCCACCACTCCTA